CTGCTGCGTCCCCAAGGCCACCTCCTTCCGCCCTGGTTCAGACTGGTTCAGCGCAATGCAGGCGCTCAGAGCCGTGGTCTCCACACACAGAGGGCAGTGGGAGGAAAGCGCGGGAGGTCCTGGACTGCCCCCTGTAGCTGGAGGTGCCTCTGGGAACAGGCGGGTGAAAGGCAGTCAGGTGAGAGGCTGAGAGGCAGCGAGGGGCCTGGTCCCAGCAAGCACTCAGAGGCAGGCTCAAGCTGCCACACATGTTGGGGACCTGGACTGAGGACCCAGCTCCTGCCTTGGGCCCTGGGCCAGCCCGGGTTGTTGAGGCCTTCAGGGGAGGGAGCCAGAGACAGGCACTCCTTCCACCCCTCTGCCTCTGCTAAACAGAGCACTTCGTGAAGGGAGAGGTGAAGGAGTGGGTGCCTGGGTGCCTCGAGCTCAAGGACAGAATCTGGCAGCAGCCCCAGCTGGGGCAAGGGTAAGCACCCCATGGATATGGCTGACGGCTCTAGGATGGGGCGGCCCCAGAAGGTGCAGGAGCAGGTGCAGGCGCACGGAGCTGGAAGCGAGCCACGGCAGGACTGGAGGACGCGAACCCCCAGGAGTGGGCAGCTGGAACCGGGCAGCCCACGACCCCCAGCCCTCGAACTGCCTCCAGCGTTCTCGGGGGCGGGCGGCAGGTGGCGCAGATGAGCCGTAGCGCGGACTGGGAGTGTCCGGCGAGCAAAGGACCCGGGGTGGGGGTGCCCAGGACGTCCTGAAGAGGCGGGTACTGGGCAGGAGTGCCTGCCCCTCTCCCGACCTCGCAGGACTGGTGCCGACCCATTGGACCCACAACCGGAGCCGCCCTACCCGCGAGCTCCCGTGTACAGCAGGTGCACGGTGGCCTGCTCCTCGGCTCTCGCTGAGCCTCGAACCTGGTCGTTGGGGAGGGTTTTGAGAGGGGCCAGACGGGCGGGAGCCAAAGAGGGAGGACTGGCCGTGAAGTCAGTGCGAGCTGCGTCCAGCCCTCGGCCCCCAGGAAGCCCGGCTGCGCGCGCAGGGGTGGACACCATCTGGGCTCCCAGGGACAGGGCGGTTGCCTAGGGGTGGGAGTGGGGGTGGATGCCGGCTCCTCCCGCACCAGCCATCCAGGCCCTGGGGCAGATGCTGCGTCGGGTGGACAACGCTGCCCAGCCCCTGGAGTGGTGTCCGTCCGGTCCTTGTCCACTCCGCTTTGGCGGGAGCACGGGTGCTCCTTCCCCTGGGAGGGGTCCGAGCCCAAGCTGCACCTGCTGGAGCCCTGAGGGCCCCAGTGCCCTCCCCCGACCCGCCCTACTGCCCTACATCCTGCCCCGCCCAGAGCTTCCTGTTGGGACTGACTCACCACACCCAGCGGCGTCGGCCCGCCCTGCTGGCCTTCCTCGATCTGGCCCTGCCTGGAGCCCAGTCAAGGCATGACCACCACCAGGTATAACAGAGAGGGTGGGAGCGCCACGTGGGGGCGATCCAGGAAGCCGGTGGAGTTTCAGCATGGCCTGCAGTGAGGGTCCCCTGAGCTCCATTTAGCTGTCAGGGTTCCTGCTGGCGGCTCCCCAGAAAGAGCCTTGTCTAGCCAGGCCCGGGGCAGGTCCGGTGCCCATGCCCACATCTCCCTGTGGGCATGTGTGTGTGCTGGGGGGTGGCAGGGGCCCTACTGAGGAGGGGACAGATCAAGGAGCAACACAGGAACCCCATGTCTGGCCTGTCCTGGAGACACAGGGAGAGGTCCCAGCCCCCCTGCATCTGTGGGGCCCCTCGGACTGACCCTGGCTCTCTGGGGGAGCCTCTGTCTGCCCATTTCCTATTCCAGGATCTCCTTATCTGTTGAGATGTTTCTCACCCCGTTGCGTCACAGCCAGGGCCTTTCCCCCTTCCTGGAAGGCTGCAGCTCCAGGTGTACTGGGTGGGTGTTGCAGCCTGCAGGTGCACCTGGCCCTGGGGCACAAGTCGGAGTGGGGTTGTCCCTGCCTTGTCTGGGTAGGGAGGGGTTAGCCCTGTCATCTTGCCCTGGCTGCCTTTGTCGCGGCCCCTTTCAAGCTTGGAGTTGGTGCAGACACAAGCAGTGGGGCCTGTCTGGGAGATCGGGGGGCCAGGTCCAGCTCCCAGACAGTTGTGGACACTCCCTGGACACTGGTCTTCCATGTAGGAGGACCAGGAGCTGGCCTGCAGCCCGGTGGGAGGGGCAAGGCAAGCGCAGAGCTCCCATCCTCTCAGCTCAGCACTTTTGGTTGGAGGGCTAGACACAGGTGGAAGGAGGGCACAGCCTGCAGAGGGCGCTGTCCAGCAGATGCAGTTGCCAAGAGCCGCTGGGGGCAGGACACACTGCCAGGGTCTCGGTCTTGCTTGGCCAACTGCTTTGTGCAGCTCCTGGTCTGGTTCCAGGCATGCCAGCTGAGGAGGGGCTATGGCCCCACCTCCTGCAGTATTGGGTGCTCACGTTCACTGCTGGGGTGTGTGGGGGGAGGGTCGGGCACCTTGGTATTATGGAAGCGGCCTCAGCTTTTATTGACTGCTAGGGGCTGCCAGAGTTATAAATAGATGTTCTTGAGCTAAAAATAGCATTGTTGGAGTCAGAGAATGCTGCTAGCTCTGCCTCTTCAAGACGCAGGGATGCTAACAGCCTGAGCCAAGACTGCCCGCCCACCAGGCCCTTCCCCTCCTTACTCCTCTTCCTCCCATGATGTCACAGGAGGAGGATGCTTTGGACAGGCAGCGTTAACCAGGGCCGCAGTGATGACCCCCCGCCCTGGCTGGCATCCTGGCTGGCACTGGTGCCCATGTGTGGCTGGTAACCTGGCAGGTTCTGCGTCTGGATGCCCCACTGGCCCCGGCAGTTTAGGCTGCCGCATGCCTGGGGCCACCTCACTCAGGAGTGACCCACTTTGGTGGGGGGGAAGGTTAAGGTTGAGTGGGCTGGGTGGGCCTCTAGGGAGCGTTGGAGGTGGCAAGAGGATGTAGGGTGTATTTGTCAAGTTTTGAGTTATGATTCATGAGCCAATGGCAGCAAAGCCAGCGCTTTAGGTGTTGGGGGTGTAGCAGAGGCACAGGGGCCCTCCTCCTGGACTCGGAAGCCCCCTCCTAATCTCCCCCTACTCCAGCGCAAAGGAAAGAGGCAGAGGAGGCGCCAGGAAAACCTCGGTCGCAGGATTTATTACAACACAGTATTCCCAAATACAAAAGGGGATGGGAAGGTGGGGTTCATGGGGGAGGGGATCATAGGAGTTGGGGGGCTGGCAGCCCAGTCCACAGAGACTGGGAGCCTTGTAGGGAGGAACCTGCCACCGTTCCTCCGCTGGACGTTCCAGCAAGTAATAGGAGGGGCCTGGTCCATTGTGGGGCAGTCCCCGTGCCTGGCAGCAGCTGAGCCAGGTGGGGGCACAGGGAGCTTTGAGAAGACTGGGCAGCGCCCCCTCCTGACCCCGAAGTGGCCGTGGGGAGGAGGCAGTGGCTGAGATGGCGCCCAGGCCCTCGGCAGTGAGAGCTGAGCCAGCTGGGTTCCCTATACCCAGCACAGAGCCATGCCCCGGGGAGGGTGCGGGAGGGGAGGGGTGAGGGCTCAGGAAGCTCCCTCCAGGTTCCAGGGCCCAACCAGTGGCCTGGACAGCATGGGGTGGGGGCAGGGTGAGGAGGGGGGAGCCAGTGCGTTCCTCCACACCCAGGGTCACCTGGGAAACCCAACACGACAGACATAATCATAATAATTAACCCATAGTAATAAATACTCAAAAACCTCTAAGAGATTGCAGATACAACAATGTTAGCTTATCGCCTGGGGGTCGGGGGCTAGGGACATGGAGGGGCACAGCAGCACTGTGGGCGGACAGGGACATGAGGCAAGGGGTCCAAAGAAGAGAACAGAGAGGACACAGCCGGGGCAGTGGCGGTGGGAGGGCAGCCCTCCCGAGGTGGCCACTGCCCCCGGAGCCTGGGCCCAGTGGCCCAAGAGGGCGTGAGGAGGGCGGCTGGAAGGACTGCCAAGTCACCTTGAAGCCACCAGGAGCAGAGGCCAGTGGAGGGACACCCCCCAGGGGTCTCCCTCTGCTGTCCCAGAGCCAAGCACTGCATCTTTCCATAGCAGAAGTCTTGGCGGGTGCAAGGTGCAAGGCACCTGCTTGGGGAGCCCCTCCCAGCAGCTGCAGGTGAACCCACTGGATTAAAGTCAGGCCTGGGCCCAGCCTGGAGGAGTGACCGAGCAAGACCTGTGCATTCCTGGTGCAGCTGCCCCTCTGACCAGCAGGGTCAGCACTGGCTGGCCCTGGTGCTCCTGCCCCCTGGGCAGCGCTTCCCCAACAGCAGGTGGCCCTGGATGGTGGAGTGGGAGAGACCTCTGGCAGTCAGCCAGTGCAACTGGCCCATGTTGGGAAGGGGGCAGCTCCACCCCCAACCCAGCCAGGGTCTTCCTTATCCAGCACTCAGCCCTGACTCCTGGGCTCACCTCTCTCTGCTGCTGAGGACGGCCTCGGAGAGCCAGCCAGGCCCTGCCCTCCCTGGCACTTTGTGCTGGCATTAGCGGGGACCGCCAGCCCCACCTACTTCTTGGGAGCAGAGGCGGACAGCAGCACCCCAGGAAAAGGAGGCGTGGAGGAAGGAGGAGGGGGGTAGGGTCTGCGGCTCAGTTTGTGGCAAAGAAGTTTTTTTTGTTTTCCTCCCCCCCCTTTTTTTTCTTATGTAAAAAAGTGCACGAAAGCTGGGCAGCCTCTTCCTGGGCAGCAAGTGTCTCCCGGGGTGGGATGGGGAGAGAGGGGCGCGGGGAGAGGGGGCGCGGGGAGAGGGCACCTCAGCTCGCCACTGCAGGTGGCCTGCTCCTCCTATTGCTTAGAAACTTGAGTTTCAGTTTAAATCCCGGACAGTAAAAAGAGCGCCGAGGCCCGCCAGCGCCGTGGCCAAGTCACGGATGACAGAGAGAGAGAACAGCTTAAATAAATAAAAATGGAAACATCCGCTTCTGGATAAAAACCCGCAGTGACAGCTTCTCCCCTGGCCCGCGGCGGTCAGGACACCCGGATGACCTCCACGCTGCCCGAGAAGCTGGCCTGCTTGCCCAGCGCCACGAGCTCCTCGCCCCGCGTGCGGCCCTCGGCTCTGGTGTCCTCGGACTCCATCTGGCAGCTGCGCCGTTTGAACTGCGAGTCGGGCGCCGGCTCGTCGGGCCAGCCGGTCCGCGCATCCCGGGGCTCAGCCCGCGCCGTCTCCCGCCGTCGCAGGTCGCCACCGCCGCTGCTGCCAAAGGGCGCCAGGCGCGGGCCGCCCGCTCCCTGCGCGCCCTCGGGGCTGAAGCACCAGGGCGCATCGGGCGACGGTGTGCCGGGAGAGTCCAGCGGCGGCACCCAGGCCCCAGGGCCAGCGGGCTGGCTGGGCCCAGGCAGCCCAGGCACCGACAGGGCGGAGAGGCCGTGCCGCGGAGTCTGCCGCGCCGAGTCGCCAAAGTTCAGGCCAAGGCCGTGCGCCGGGGAGCGCGCCGGGGAGCCAGCGGGGGCGCGGGGCCGCCGGCGGGGCCGCGGGCGCGTCTCGGGCGCCACCGCATCCGGGCTGTCGGCACCGGGTGAGGGCAGGCCCAGCGCGCCCCCAGAAGGGCTGTCCAGCTTGCAGAGTTTGGGTGCCTCGCCCGGGTCCGGAGGCCCGGGTCCGTCGGGCAGCCGGCTGGGTGCGTAGGCAGACTTGATGTCCAGCGAGAAGGAGCGCTTGAGGCGGTTGGTGTCCTGGAGGCGGTCGGAGGACAGGTGGAGGCCCCGCAGGCCCCGCTGCAGCGCGCTGGTAGCCGGGGCGGCGGCGGGGGCGGGTGGCTCCCCGCAACAGCCGCCGCTGGCACCGCTGCCCTCTGTGGCCGCGCTGCCGCCGGCAGCCACCACGCTCCCGGCAGCGCCGGTGGCCGCGCTCTCTGAGGTAGGTGGGGGCAGTCCGGGCAGCGGGGCTGGGCCAGGGAGGGGCTCCGGAGTCCCCGGGCAGGAAGCCGCGTCCCCCTGCAGCGCGGCCAGCAGCTTCAGGCTTCTCTCGTACTCCAGCAGCTGGCCCAGGAAGTTGAAGTTGGGCGAGATGGAGGGACGCCGGTCCTTGACGAACCTGCGGTGGGAGAGCGGGCGGGTAGCTCCGTGGGTGGGTGTGTGGGGCTCTGTCCTGGGGCCACCCCGGGTCTCCCATGGTGGCGCCAGGTGGAGAGGCTCAGGGAGGGTCCGCTTCCCCTGCCCAGTGCCTACCTGTAGGCGTCGTCCGAGGACATGCCCATTGTCTTCATGATGTAGGCGATGGCGATGGTGGCAGAGCGGGAGATGCCAGCTAGACAGTGCACGATGACTTGGCAGCTGGACAGCTTGGCTTTATCTGGGGGCGGGTAGGTGGGTGAGACCTGCGTCCCCAGGTGGGCTTCCCCCCTCGCGACCTCCTGCAGCCCGTGACCTCACCAATGAACTCAATGGACGTGTCCAGCCAGGGCAGCAGCCTCTCACAGTAGTTGTCGTTGATGGGGATGCGAAGGAAGCGGCTCTCACAGATGAAGTCGGGCTTGGGGCAGGAGTTGCTGGCATTGAGGACGTAGCTTATTCCGTTCTGGGTCATCAGATCCTGTTGTCAGGAGGAGCGGGAAGAATGCTTGGGGTTCAGCAGGTCCCCATGGTCTGAAGGCTGAGGAAGGAGCCTCTCCCTGCTGCCCACTCTGCGCCCCTGGACCTGGCCAAGCCCCGCCCACTGCAGGCTCCTTGGCATTTTGCGGCTGGCCTGGGCGGCTGGGCAGCGGCTTTGCCCGCTTCCCTCAACACGGGAGCCTTTCAGAGCTGGCCAGGGGCCCAGTGACATCAGAAGCCTGGCAAGCCTCGTTGGGTGCAGGGCCCTGGGCGGGCGGGCAGCTTCCTGCTTCTCCCTGCGCCTGGCCAGCCCCTGGCCCTCCCGCACCCCTAGCAAAGCCCTCTCTCGCCATACCTTATTCAGGACATCCTTCTGAGAGCCCAAGTAGAGGTGAGGCAGGATACGGGTGAGGCCCACACTGGGCACGGGCAGGCAGGGCTGTGAGAGGCTCATGGGGAGCAGGGCGGCAGGCTTGCCCTCACAGAGGCTGGGGAAGCAGGAGGAGAAGGTGGCAAAACCCCCTGCGGAGGAGAGGAGGGGGACCTGAGGCCAGGGCCAGCAGGGGCACCAGGCGGGAACCCCAGGCAGTTGCCCATCAGCTCAGGGCTCACCCACGCCCCGGGGGGACCCAGCTGGAGCCCGGCCCGAGCAAGCGCGTGAGCAGACTAGTGTAGTCCCTGTGGCCTCTGTGCTGGAGGCGGCTCTGGCCGGCCGGGCGGCGCCTCCTGCAGCATTTACAGTCCGCACCGACGCCCACATTCCTCCCCACGCTAATTAGGGGCTGGCCCCGCGAGGACGCTGCCTTGATGCCCATAAACACGGCTGGAGGTGGGTAAGGACAGTGCCTGCCTGACCCTGAGGCTGTGGGGGTCTCCTGTGGGGACAGGCGGCGGGGCCAAGGCCCCCAGCCAGGCTAGAGGAACCACGCCTCCCTGCCTTCAGCTGGCGTACAGCCCTAGGCCGGGGCTCGGGTGCCAGGGCTGGGAGGAGGCAAGGGCTTCTGCCAGGGATGTGACATCACCCTGCGGACTGGCTCAGTGGGCAAGGGCCATCTGTGGTAAGGTCAGGGCTGTACTCTGTCCAGCAGGAGGTAGCAGGTGCACGTGGGGCTGGAGCGGGCGCCCATGGCAGCACACAGCCAGCGTGCCCTGCTGCTACAGCTCCAGGTTGGGGGAGGGTCTGCCCAGTGTGAACCAGAAATTGTGAATGGGTCAGTAACGATGGCCCAGGTGCCAGGTCGCCAGGGGCTGAGTAGGGTGCCCGCTGAGGTGGCCTACCATGGGTGTCTGTGGATCTGTCCATGTTCCAGGCAAAGTGAGGGGCTTGGGGGAATCCCATTGGAACCCCTATCCCCCATAGCCAGGAAGCCGCCTGCAGACACTAAAGCCTCTGCAGGGTTGCGGGCTGGGGGTGCCACTCTAGGGCCCCCTTCTCCAACTCCCACAGGATCCTGTGGTTGCCATTCATGGCCAGAAAGGGAGGATGCCCCAAGCCCCCCCATTGAGGTGGACGGGGGGGGGGTATGCACTTGCATGGCCTCTGGGTAAAAGTTCCCCCAGGAGGCGTGAAGGAAGTGGCATGCACACCCAAGCGGGGGGTTGGCTCCCCGGGCTCACCTGTGAGGATGGCCACGCTGTCAAAGCAGCCGTCCAACTTGCTGAGCAGGATGGAGAGGAAGCTGTCGGCGGCCAGCACGCTGGCGTCCCGCGTGCTCTGGTCATACACCACGACGTCCTGCGGCTCCGTGGCCTCCACCTGGAGGGCAGAGGTCAGGCTGACACTGGTACGCCTGTCACTGGGACCCCACATACTTGCTGCTGTGTGAAGGAAGGCAAGGGGATGGAGGGAGGGGCCACTGCCACGCTTCTGCCTGGGGGGGGGGGCGGGGAGGTGGGCCGATAAGGTGTCCTGCCCACATCCCTACACTGTCTACCTGCCAGGGGACACCTGGACAGGTGTCAGTGTTCAGGGCCACAGCAGCAGCCGTGGGGCGGGGGAGTGAGAGGGCTTGTGCGCGCGCACGTGTGCACACACGTGTGCACACACACACACACACACACACACACGGAAGGCATGGACGGGTGTTCACTGAGGCCAGGCTGTCACTGAGCAGACACAGGCAGGGGGGCTGGGCAGGGCCTTGGGGCCCAGATGTTAAGCGGCTTTTGCTCAGATGGCAGTGGGCACCCCCAACACCCCCTGGGCACACTCAGCCCTTAAGCCAGCTGAGCCGCCAACCTCCGGGCTGCATGATGTCACCGGCAGCCAATCACCTCCCACTCTGGCCTGGAGCCCTCGCTGGGGGTGATGCGTCACTGGATTCCCCCTCCCCCCGCCACGGGAGCCACAGGGAGCCTGCTGTGGCTGCAGAGTGGAGTGGGGGAGGGGGGAAGGTGGGGGCAAGGCACGGCCAAAAGCTCCATCCCACCTGGGTCTTGAGCTTACACGGTGACGACTGTGACCCCTCCCCAAAGCCCCCAACCCCAATCACAAGGCCTGGAGGGGTGGGGGGTGTCAGAGAGAGGGGCCAACTGCACAGCTCACTGGTCCAGTTCCCCACATCCTCAAGTGGATGGGCCTGGGAAAGATGGAGCTGGCAAGCGTGCCCTCGGAGGCTACTGGAGCTAGGGGCCTGGGAACACCAAATGCTCCCCCAAGCTGTCCTGTACATCCCCCACACCTAGACTGTACCAGCTTGCTCCCCCCTCCCTCTGTTCTTGAGCCTGTCTGGGCCCTGGAGACACTGGAGGCCAGTGCAGGGCGTGCAGGGCTCTGGGTGGGAGCTGGGGTCAGCAGGCTCAGGGAACCAGGGAACACGTAGCAGGGGGGACCCCATGGTGGGGGCACCTGGTGGTGGTAGAAGGCATGGCCCTAGGGCTGTGGACTGTGGAGGGGTCCTGGGCGAGCGCGGGCAGAGGCAGCCAGCTCCCGGTGGGTGCGAGGAAGGGTCGGCGCCCGGGTACCTGGCTGCGCGCGGCTGGCTGGATGAGCTCGGCGATGGTCACCTTGCCCTGCTGCAGCCGCCGCTTCACCAGCTTGGAGCAGCAGATGTTGACGGAGCTCAGCACGTGCCAGCTGTTGTACTCCACGAAGGAGCGGCTGTCGATGACCAGGGGCCCCCTGGGCCCGCCCCGCAGAAGGCTGGCCAGCTTCTTGGCGTCCATCACCTTCCTGGGGAGTCGGTCCCCGGCCATGGTGGGGCAGTGCACAGGGCGACCCCCGGAGTGGGGAGGGTGTGATCGCGCGTCCCAAGTGCCCTAGCACATGACGGCAGGCCTGCAGGGGAGAGGGTGAGCTGTCAGCAGCTCCAGCCTGCCCAAGGGCAGCCCCGGCCAGCCGCACCGGGAGCCCAGGGCACCTTCCTCTCAACGTGGGGGGTGGGAAGGCCTGCGGGAGACCAGGTCATCTCGGACAGCAGGACACCGTGGTGCAGGGTGGGTCTCGGGTCAGACCAAGGGGTGCTTCCCCTGGGCCCTGGGGTCCCCTGACCCACATCCCAACAACGGACCCCCAACAAAGCAGAGCGTGTGCCCCGTGCCCTCTGACCTGCTCTTCCCTCCCCCGGCACTGCTGAACCCAGTGTGTGTGTGGGGGGGTTGCTGCTCTCTAAGCTGATGCTCACAGTCCCACCCACAGTGGGCTCAGGGTGAGGCAGGTAGAAGGGCTGGCCAGGGTCCTGGGGGCTGGCCCCTTGGCTCTTGCCACTTGCTGCGTGCTGGTGCCTGCGCTGCAGAGGAGCCAGGGCAGCTAGAGCACTCAGGTCAGCGTGCCTGGGACCCGTGGGCTGCTGCAGCCTCCATCTGCCTGCAGAGCCCTCAGCTGAGGGGTGCACGGGAACAGCTGGATAGCTTGGGAAGCCTGGATGCTACGCTCCCACCCCTGTAAAGCTTGAGCTGCCTGCCATTTGCCAGAACTATCCAGGTCCACCCAGGAGGCACACAGTTTGACATAAAGATGAGGAATGTGGGGCTCAGAGCAGGAATATATTCCACACAAGGTTCCCATGTCGGCAGGTGCTAAGGACAACAGAGGCAGCCACGGGGGGGTTCTGTACTCCCTTGCTGGGGGCAGGCAGCTCCCAGCCCTACCTGTGCCCAGTCCCTGCCATCACCCCCTGCAGCCTGGTATACCTCTCACTGCTTCCACAGGGCTACCGAGACAAGACAGGGCTGCTGAAGCTGATGCTGCGAAAAGGCGGGTGGGTCTGCTCTCCAGGCCTGCAGTGTCCTTGCTCTGCTGGGGGCTGCAGCTGCTAAGCCACACCCACTACATCTGGCAGCATAACGGCCTGCCCTGCCGAGGGGCTCCCAGTCCACGGAGGAGGCGACCCCTGCCTGCCCAGGTCATCGCTGCCCTGAGAAGGTGGGTCCTTGGTCATGATGGTGGGTGTCGGGGGAGGCGGGAGTCCCTGCTTTAGTTTTTGAAGGTGGTGACAGGCCATGGCTCCTTGTCCCATGGGTTGAGGGAAGCAGCCACTTCCACCCTGGCTGAGCCTCTGCCCTGGACAATGAGACGTAGAGCTCAGCTCAGAGAGACCCAGGAGAACGCAAAGTGTGTTCATCTGTGAAATGGGTAGGTGGGGGATCCCTCAGGTGGCTGGCTGCCCACCATCCAGAGAAGCAGAGGATGCTGACTCCACAGAAAGGCATGGAGGTCAGAGGCAGTGAGGCAGGCTCAGGCCAGGAGGAGGGGGGCCTGAGATGAGGCAGCGTCAGGGTCAGGCCAGCAGTCACAGAGCTGTGGGCAGGGGCTGCAGGTACCTGGTCCTGCTGTCCCAGGAACCCTGGCGCCAGAACTGGGCCCCGTCCACCACCCAAGCATTGTTGTTTGCAGCCAAGGGGGACTCATTAGCCAAGGCAGCACCTCCACGGTCGCCATGGCAACAGCAGAGGCACCAGGCAACCTTGTCGGCTCCCGGGGCTGCAGCCGCCAACCTTGGTAGGCTCCCCCCTCCGCGAGTGGACAGGTTGGCAGCCCCCTTGATGAGCCCCAGCTGCCCTGCACTGGACCCCACCTGGCGCTGATCCCAGGTGCACCCACAATTTTCTTGCTGCAGTTTCTGTACCGCCTGGGGCTGGTCCCTCCATAGGAGGTTGGTGTGGGGGAGGGGAGGCCCTCAGACAGCCCCCAGCCCCTCAGGGGTGCACAGCAGGCCGGGACAGTGGTGCGAGTGGTGGCTTCTATTGGGCCAGGGGCTTCATGTCCAAAAGCAGGTGTTCCGCTCTGGCCTCGATTTGGCCAGACCTCATTCTTGGGGACCAAGGCGGGTGGGATGGGTACTCAAGGCCGTCCTGTGGACCCTCTCCTCCTAGGCTGGCTCGGGACAGGCCCACCTGCATGGCCTGGCTCCTGTGTATGAAAACAGCCCTTTACATGTAGACACACATGCCACTGCAATGCAGAGTCTGGCCACACACATGCGCAACATACGTGTCCACCTGTCCCCAGGGGCAGAGCCCCTACCACATGTGTGCTCCTGAGCACACGCATGACCACCTGGCTCCTACATGCCTGTCCCTGAGCACACACATGACCAACTGGCTCCTACGCGCCTGTCCCTGAGCACATGTGTGACCAACTGGCTCCTACACGCCTGTCCCTGAGCACATGTATGACCACCTGGCTCCTATGTGCCTGTCCCTGAGCACACACATGCATGTCCCTGAGCACATGTATGACCACTTGGCTTCCACATGCCTGTCCCTGAGCACACACATGACCACCTGGCTCCTACACGCCTGTTCCTGAGCACACACGTGACCACCTGGCTCCTACACACCTGCCCCTGAGCACACGCATGACCACCTGGCTCCTACACGCCTGCCCCTGAGCACACGCATGACCACCTGGCTCCTACATGCCTGCCCCTGAGCACACACATGGCTACCTGGCTCCTATGTGCCTGTTCCTGAGCACACACGTGACCACCTGGCTCCTACATGCCTGTCCCCAGGCACACACGTGACCACCTGGCTCCTACATGCCTGTCCCTGAGCACACGCGTGACCACCTGGCTCCTACATGCCTGCCTCTGAGCACATGTATGACCACCTGGCTCCTACATGCCTGTCCCCAGGCACACACATGACCACCTGGCTCCTACATGCCTGTTCCTGAGCACACACATGACCACCTGGCTCCTATGTGCCTGTCCCCAGGCACACACGTGACCACCTGGCTCCTACATGCCTGTCCCTGAGCACACACATGACTACCTGGCTCCTACACGCCTGTCCCCAGGCACACGTGTGACCACTCAGCTTCCACACGCCTGTCCCCGAGCACACACGAGCAGCCACAACCTGCACCTGAGCCATGGCCAGTCTCTCCAGCTGCCTTCGGCTTGGCCCAGCAACAGGGACCTCACACCCTTTACTGACTACCGTCAGGGGCTGCAGGGCCGTGGCTGGCACTCACAGCTGTGTCTCAGGCTACAGCTCCTACCTAGGTGGGCTCATGGGACTCTGTCGCCTGGGGCAGAAACCACTGCCTGGCAGTGCCAATGATGCCCACTCTCACCGGATGCCCCACTGTTCCCAGGTGTGAGCACCGTGGGCGGCCCCCTGACCCATGGAGGTCGGTAGGGGATGGCAGGTCCCTGAGCATCCTGGGGTGAGAGGACTTGGCAAGCAGAGGCTGGGAACCTCCTGGCACCTGCTTCCTTCCCAACAACCTGACCTGTGCAAAGGAGCGGAGGGCTGCTTGGGCCCTGGCTCCTACACTGTGCATCTGAGTCAGTCCAGGGCCTCCACGGGGCACTGCCAGCCCGAGTGGTCCAGCCAGTACTGCCCTGGTACACAGCCCAGCCACTTGTCTCTCCAGCCTGTATGGATGGCTCCCAGAGGCACCAAGCAGAGGGTGGGGCACGGACCTGTTGCCCAGAGCACTCCCTAGGGGTTGAGAGCAGGGTGGAGGCAGGTACTTAGGCCAGACTACAGGAAGAACTAGCCCGGGGCACGTGATCTGTCAGTGGGGGTGGGGGTTATCAGCCAGGGGGACAGCACCAAGGACTCTGTCCTCCTGCAGGTGCCAGGCCCAGCAGCGTCCTGCAGCCTTGACAGAAGACACAGACCCGGGCCCTTGGGACCCCCGGGGCCTGCTGCACCGCACCCAGCCGCACAGCCATCCTGCTGCCCCTCCTCCACTGCACAGAGCCCGCAACCCTCCCTCCCCCTCCACTGCAGCACCAGAGGCTCCTGCGGAAGCCATGGCACCACTGCAACGCAGGGGGCTGCAAGCGGGGAACTGCGGGTGGCTGGGGGGGCTGTACCTCTTGATCCTTGCATGCTGGATCTCTGGGTACCCCCGACCTGGGCCAGGAGGCGGCCACGGGCAGCCTGGCAGTGCCAGCCCCTCCCCCAGCATGCTGCAGACGCGGGTCTTTATTCCGCAGAAGTGGAGGAGCGCGCGCATGGGGGGGGGGTGGCCTGGATCTGCAGTCCCCCCAACCCTCGGTTGCAAGGAGCCTTTTCCTGGGTACCCCCGCAACGCAGGGCCAAGACCTAGCATTTTCCTGACCTGCTCCGCTCCGGGTCCCAACGGGGCTGCCCTTGGGGATCGCGCAGCGCAGACCAGTCTGCACCGGAACGCAAATGGCTTCTTGGACTTGGGTTTAGGCCCCCACCCCCCACCCCTCAGACACCGGGAGGAGGACTGCTGGCCCCAGGCGGAGAGATGACCGGGCCCGGGTCCGCGGCACGCTGCGGCGGGCGTGGGAAGGGTTTCTGGGTCCACCGCAGCTCCGCAAGCGGGAAGCCGGGCCGCCTCCTCCCGGGCGCCCTCCGGGCGCAGCCCCCAGCGCCCCACCACCACCCAGCGCGGGGTCCCTCCCGGGCTCTCTGGCCCCCGCATCCCCTCCCCTCCCCTCCCCAACGTCTCCCTCGGCCCCCATCAGGGCCGGCGCCCGGCTCACCTCGCTCCCGCCCGCCTCGGGGCGCACCGGGGACCCGCGCCGCGTTCAGGGCGCTCGCTCGGCCGCGCCGCCCATGGGCCCGGCGGGGGCCCGCGCAGCCGGGGCAAGGGCCGGGGGAGCGCGCGGGCCGCGTCGCCGCCGCCGCCGCCGCCGCCACCGCCGCGGGGAGCGCTCGCTCGGACCGGGGTGCGCGCACTGCGGGCGGGCACGCGCGCTCGCGGCGCGCATCCCAGCCCCGCGCTCGGCGGGCGCGGCCGGGCTGCTCCGGCTCGGGCTCGGCTCGGGCCCGGCGTCCGGCGTCCGGCGTCCGGCGTCCGGCGGGGCGGGGGCCGCGGAGCCGGCGCGGCCGCGAGTGACAGGCCCGGGGCGGAGGGCGGGGCAGCCGGCGGGGATGAAGTCATGCCGAGCG